GTGCATGGTGGGCCAATTGTGTCACTGTTTCTCTGTGTCATGATAGATCCCAATTGAGCGGCGGCAGCTGGCCTAAGGGCCGGTGCGCAATAGCACTTGCCGCCGCATGGCTCCCCGTGTGGTGGGGGCCCACCCTCCGGGAGCCAGCAGGCAGGAAGCTAGCCAGCCAGAAGCCATTTGAAATATTTTTACAAGATAGAAAAAGAAGAGCAAGTCAAACCAAAAATGTGTGATAGGAACAATATAATAGGAATGCTTAAGAAATTAGAATACAAATAAAAAACTGAGAAAAATCAATACATTTGTTGCACATAAAACCATAACTGAAAATTGTGCCATTTCTACAGGTATGTAGGAAATTTTGCTTATGAAAATATTATTTCCTTTTCCACATCAATGTATTTGAAAGTTTACTTGAAACTTACAAACTATAGGAAATGTTGGTCAAGGGGTTCTAGGCAAAAGTAAAATAAGGAGAGATTAAACATGGCTGAATAGAGCAGGAGCCACATTGAAGTAACTTAAAAAATATCTAAAAGCAAAGGAAACTGGAAGCAAGGGAGGGACATCTGGATGTGAAAAATCAATCTGAAATAAGAGACTTGTAGGTCAAACAAAAGATAGGCATAGTACTCTAACAACAGAAGAAATGGACAGATTCTTAGGTACATATGAACCATCACAGCTGAATCAAGAGGATACAAGAATTCTAAATAAACCAATATTGGTCAATGAAATTGAAAATAGAATTATAAACTTTCCAACAAATAAAAGCCCAGGTTGTCATGAATTTACTGCTGAATTCTACAAGAAATTTAGAGATGATCTAATGCCAATATCCTCAAACTATTTAATGAAACTGAAAGTGAAGCAAAACTTCCAAATTCATTCCTGGAAGAAAGTACTACCCTGATATCAAAACCAGAGGTTGGGGCAAAAAGTCACAGCCTGGACAATGTTGATACTTAATAAGACCGTATTTCAAATTTTTTTATAAATTAAAATGAGCAAGAATGTATCTCAGTACAAAGTTCCTGAATTCAGTAATCAGGTCTAAAAATTACATTAAAAACTTTTAGCTGAAAAACAAAAAAGAAACAGAAACAGAAAAATAATAATTTGACTCAAGAAGTCATGGGGACTTCTGTGAATGGGTGATTAGATGGGGGAAAATTAATGAACCTGATGTAATGACATCTTGAATTTCTCGTAGATATGGAGCAGTGTGTGAAGTGTTCTGATGACCAGTATGCCACGATACAGCAAAACCACTCTCTCCAAAAGTCTGAGACTTTCCTGGGTCATGAAGACCCATGGGGAAGATGCTGGCTGGCACCACTGTGAGTCTCACTGTCCTCACAGTTCTGGTTCTTGGGCTCTTTGTGAAGCAATGAGACACTCCCATCATCAAGGCCAACAACCGCGCTCTCAGTTACACCCTGCTCATCTCCCTCACCTGCTGCTTCCTCTGCTCCTTGCTCTTCATTGGCCGGCCCAGCACAGCCACCTGCATCCTGCAGCAGACCTCATTTGCAGTCGTGTTCACTGTGGCTGTCTCCACTGTCTTGGCCAAAACCATTACTGTGGTGCTGGCCTTTAAGGTCACCGCTCCAGGCAGAAGGATGAGGCAGTTGCTGTTATCAGGGGCACCAAACTCCATCATCCCCATCTGCTCCCTGATCCAACTCACTCTCTGTGGTGTCTGGATGGGGACAAATCCACCCTACATTGACACAGACGCTCACTCTGAACATGGCCACATCATCATCGTGTGCAACAAGGGCTCCCTCACTGCCTTCTACTGTGTGCTGGGATACCTGGGCACCCTGGCCCTGCTGAGCTTCACCGTGGCTTTCCTGGCCAGGAACCTGCCCGACACGTTCAATGAAGCCAAGTTCCTGACGTTCAGCATGCTGGTGTTCTGCAGTGTGTGGGGTCACCTTCCTCCCCGTGTACCACAGCACCAAGGGGAAGGTCATGGTGGCCATGGAGGTCTTCTCTATTTTGGCCTCCAGTGCAGGGCTGCTGGGTTGCATCTTTGCCCCCAAGTGCTACATTATTTTGTTAAGACCAGAGAGAAACTCTCTGCATGAGTTCAGAGATAAAACGCATTCTGGCAAATACAAACATTATTAGTTAATAAAATATGGTATTTAGAAAATACATAATGTCTGTGGTACAATTCTACAACATTTTCTGAGTTAGTTATTAGATTAAAACATGGAATTTACTTCAATAATCAATTAACTTATTTTTTCTATAATAGTCTTACTGTTACTGTAATATGTGATCAAACTGATTATATTTTCACTTTGAATTGTATTCTGGAAATTTATTGTTCCAGTTATTCTGCAATGAATTCTTATATATTTGAAGTTTGACTATACTACTTGCTCTTTTCTTATGTTCTATTTGTTCTTTTCAATCATCTTTACTCATTATTTGATTATTTGTATGGTAACTTATCTGCAGATCATTATATTTCAGAATTTCCTATTGTATTTCATTGTGTTTTTTCTTTTTGGGAATTAGCATGCCTTAAATATATTGGTTAAACTTCAATTTTCTAACTGGTTTTGCATTTCCTTTCTCATTCATGTATGTCAAAATTTCTGAGGGCCTTTTTCTGCAGAATTTCTTTCTCTTATTACCTTCAGAATCCTAAAATTGGCTGATTACCTGTGATAACAAATTATTTCAAATTTACAATGGCACTGAATTGAATTTATGCATTAAATGAAGGGATATTTGTGCTCTTTAGTAACTTTTAATATCAGTGATTAGATATTTCTGTTTATCTTGTTTAAACATTCTTTCTAATGTGAGACATGTGTCTATATATCTATATTTGTTTTGTATTTATTACATGTACACATAAACATTATATGCAGTGTTTTTGTTCTCATGTTTATTTTTTCTATTTTTAGGACTTGTTGACAATGCAAAAATATTTTAATTTATAATATTTTGTGTACTAAAGATTTTATACTGAAACATATTTGTTAAATTAAGTGACCAAAATTTTTGGCTCTACTATTGTGTTTTTTGAGTCACTTTGATTTTTAATCCATGTAATCTGGTGATCATACCTTTGTCTTTTTAAAGTGAATTTTTAAGTTTAATTCTATTTTCTTTGCTAATATAGTGCTTTATTTCAAATATGATTAGAGGCTTATTTCTATTATACTTTCAGCGAACAGTCCAAGATTTTACATTAAATATTATATATTTGCCATTTGAGGTTACACCTATGAACATATAAGAAAGGGTTTGTACAGTTTTTTACTTTAAAGAGAATAATAGAAAAAGAACAACAGCAAAATGCCAGCAATATAGACAACAACAAAACAAAGCAGAAACAATAAAAATGATACAGGGATTCAGAACAAATGATAGGAATTAACAGTGATTATTATATTACATATTGTCATCTTCAATGAAGTTGCTCAGATTACCAGATATAGGGTTTGTATAGTTTTAAATTGCCTGGGATTTTTAATCAAAATATTGTCAAACTAATTTTGTTTTTAGTTAAATTTATAATTTGTCAGCACTTACAATGTTTATAAATTTTATTAATAATGCTATACTTATTATCAGGAAAAACATACTTTATGTTTGCTGATCTTTTATAAGATTATTTTGAACATATTTAATGTTTACATCTATTATAAATGAATTGACAGATGTTATTTCTTTGTAGTTCCATCCTCGTAGGATTTCTAAGTTTATGTGTGCAATAAAATCTGTTTCTTAAATGAAAGGAGGAACTGCATGGATCGGTGTACTGCTGGATAAAAGTGTGGGGAGATGGATGGACGAGTGTTAAAGGCAAAAAAATGAAAGGAATCCAAGGAGAAATGAATAGAAGTTGCAGGGAAAGAGAGAGCACACAATGGAGAATTTAAACATTTTTGTATAATTTTAGAAACTTTCAATTGCATTCTACCAAAAGTTAAACAAATTTAAAATAAAAAATATAATTAATCACTTCCTTCTTTGGTAGAAACCTACAGAAGTACAATTTTCCTTGCTCTCTGCTAAACCCTGCAGAGCTCTTACTCTAAATCCTGTTCTGGCTTACTGATCTGTGGCAAATAAATTCCTTTTACTCAGGAATTTCTTTTTCACTCTGTTACTCATTTCGATTTTCTAGTGGTTAGAAGCTAAGCCCACTGCTTGCATTAAGTTAAATATTTGCGATTTTCTCATCACATTTGGTCTAAGGAGCAAAAGGCAGAGGGAATCCATATCTCTGTTCAATACATTTTTCATTTCTTGGAAGCAGTCAGTGTGAAATTCACAAAGCAGGCTGTGTGTGCATCAGTATGGGGCACACATCAGAGAGCCCTGGAGAATCTTACTAGAGCTCATATTCTTGAACATGCCTTGGACAATAGATGATTCAGGCCAGGAGAACAACAGATTTCTCCATCTGATGGCAACAGCTGTCATTTTCAGAAACACTCTGGGTCCCTTCTTACGTGGGAATACATTGGTAAAAACTCATCTCCATCCGCCTTCTCTGCCTGATCCACAGCTGGCAGAGCTGACCAAGGAGGATGAACTGAAATTCAGGCTTGTACACAATTCCAGATGCTTCAGTTCCAAATCCCGAAATCATCCTCTGAGATTGGCCCCCCTGAATCCCAGCCCTGTACATTCAGACTGTCCTGAAAAGCAGAGGAGCCCTTTTCTCTGCCAAGGTGCAAATGCAGACTTTGGCTGTTGCTGCTTATGAAGCATATGTTCATCAATGCATGGACCCGCAAGCTTGCATTTGCAGACTGTTGCCATGCTGAGGCAGGAGGGTCACATGTTGGAGAGCAGCCTGGGCAACTAAGTGAGACCTTGTCTTAAATTTAAAGACAATTAGGGCTCGGTATGTTGTTCCATGGTAAAATGGCATTGGGTTCTATCTTTGGTACCTATAAACAATATATTTGAATTATCAGTTCATATTTAAAGGAATGTAAAATATACTTTTATGCATTAATTATTCTTATTATTCAATCTTTCCTCTTGACATTATGCCCTAGGGTAAACTGGCATGTGTGGCATATAGACCCTGTTCTTCAAATGCAGGAAGAAACTTTTGATTTTCCCTTCAAATTTATTTACCCTTGGTTGGAGAGGCAAGCACTTTCCCCCTCACTCATTCTAGAAGCTTGTAGCCTTGCATAGTCTTCACACTCTACTCTTTCTCCAAGAACACTAACTTTAGTCATTTTATTTCTTTCAGATAACACATTCAGACAATGTTGATTGCTCATGTTTCACATACAACCTATTTCCATACAACTTTGTATCAGAATTTTCATCCAGGCTCATATAGAATCCACTAAAAATTAGGTGGAATATGATGATGGAATAGCAAGTTCCATGGGGCAATCCTTGCTCTAAAATATGCTTCCAGTAGAGTCACAGGTATAACCAGGTACCGTGTCAGCTAAGTCCCATAACCCTGAATGGCAGCAAGAATCATAAAATATAAAGAGAAGGCTCTACATCAACTGTCTGGGGAACTTGGTCCATTTTCTGCCACCTTTGTGGTTCATGGCTAAGCTCTGCCTATGCTCAATCAACTGCCTGGGGACCTCACTCCCAGTGGTGCACATTCTGCTGCCATTGTGGTTCATGGCCGAGGCTCAGAAGAAATAGGAACATTCCATCAGCTGTGTGGGGACACTGGACACAGGAGCCCCAAATTCACCACCATTGTGGTCTGTGCCTAAGACTTGCATGTGCAAAATCAACTGCCTGTGGTTCAGGTGGCCCACATTCTGCTGCCATTATGGTTTATCGGAGCCGCTCATGCTCCATCAACTGTGTGTGAAACCTGGACCCAGTGGTCCACCTTATGCCACCATTGTGGGACAAGTCTGACACCCACGAAAAGTAGGAAGAGGAGGCTCAGTGCTTTGCCTGTGGCATTCAAAATGACAAGATGAAGGAGATAAATGCAATCTCAGAACTTCACCCCACCCAGAATAAGTCCAGGAGATATTGACATAGGTGTACTTGGAAGTCACACACCTGAAATCTCTGAAATGATTGCAACCAAAGTAAAGAAACAAATCCATCAGACCATAGAAGAAATCAGATCAGAAATAAACTCTCAGGTTAAAAAAGAAATGACAACAATAATGAAAGAATTGCTCAGAATATTTAAAGAAGACATATATAAAAAAGTAGGTGAGCACAGAAAAATGATGAAAACATTAAATGAACAACAGGAAAGAATTAGAATGTATGAAACAGATTAAAAAAGATATTCAGGAAATCAAAACTTCCATCCAAAGCTGCCAAAACCACACGATTGAAGCTGAACATAGACTTTCAGATCTTGAAGACAGCAATGCAGCTAATGATTGTGAAAGGAAAGATCTCTTAAAAATAAGCAATCAGGAAATGTCAGTTCAACAGCTGCAAGACAATGCAAAGGGAAACAATGTAAGACTGACAGATGTCAATGAAACACAAGCAGGCAACACAAACTTCATAAAAAGAATATTTGCAGAAGTAATAGCAGGAAATTTCCAAATCATGGAAAAAGAATCTGACACACAGTAAGTGAGGCATATAGAAGTGCAACTAGCCATAACCAAAATAAAACTACACCCAGACATATATTGACCAAGATCTCAGAAATCCAGCAAAATGACATAATATTAAAAGCCATTAGAGAAAAGTAACAAATCACCTATGATGGAAAGCTCATCAAAATTGACAGATTTCTCAGCACAAACCATCAAGCCAAGCAGAACTTGGAGTGAAGCATTCCAGGTCCTAAAACAAAACAACTTCCAACCCAGATTGATTTATTCTGTAAAACTATCCTTTAAACTTATGGAGAAATAAAGTATTTCCATGACAAAGAACAACTGAAGAATTTCACAGGTACCAAACCAACCCTACAAAGAATA